AAAATAAAGTCTAAAGCTCGTTTACTCATGCAGTCTCCCATGCAAGAACTAACCACGCTCGATGGTGCTTTACTTTAAATACTTGTCGTTTACGTAACCGCATAGCTGCATGGGTAATTTGCGCAAATAAGCCGGATTGGCGGCTATTTCATGTTATTTGGATGTTTTAAAATCGATATTGCTGGCACAAATACCTTCTAGATTTGACCTATGACCTCTACATACTTTGAGTAACACTACGCTAATTTAACGGCAATTTACGAAATATTTATTCACATTTTCGAACTTTTAGCTATGGAACTTGTTACAATGATATCACAGGTAACAATCCCGAATGAAAATACCAACTTTGCAATCGCTTTTCAAAACTTTGTAAGCAGTTTGTTACCGACGTTTTGGGTGGCTGTTGTCATACTCAGGATATTTACCTAATGATTTCGAAATTTAACTGCGGGGTTGTCATGACAATCACTTAGGTTAAATATACTAACAACTTCGCCAACATTTCAATCGCTTTTTCAAACCTTGAACGCTGTTTTCTAACATTTTACAGCCAGCTCATGTGTACATCTATAGGCTGCTTTCGACTGGCTTTCATTACATTTGTCGACTTTACAACTGCGCGTTTCTATATGACAACAACTTAGGTCATATATACAAATACATCTAGCAACTTTACAATAACTTTGCACAACTTTGCAATCACTTCGAACAACTTTGCACGGCGTGTTAACAGCTTAAAACCCACTACGTGACGACGGCATCCTCAACTTGTTCGTGAAATTAGAAGGAATGTGAAAACTTTCCATTAATTAAAAACGTTACAAAAATTCCACGATTTTCCACTATAAATGATTGACATCTTTTCCATGTGTGATGAAACAAAAAAAAAATAAAATAAAAAGCTCGTTTACTCAGGCAGTCTCAAACTTTTTGGATTTCGGCATTCCCATGATGTATCCTTGGAAGGAAAAAATGTGTAATAATAAGGTTATTACGAGGATACCTCAAAGTATGTACTCAGATAATACGCCATCGCATCGACCTACGCGCAGGTATTCTCGTAATAACCTCATATTTATGTCATTATGTGTATCATCTAATACACGTTCCCAGTGCCGAGATTTTAACAATAGTTTTGTAATTACACTCATATTTTAACTAGGGCTTCGTGAGACGTATCGTGAATTCAGATTCCAAAAATCAAACTGTTTCAGCATAATTTTGACTTCGATTGAATAACCCAACATTATGTGGGGTCCTTGATTTGGTCGTTGTACAATAAGTACATAAAAATGACGATCCGGTAGATGACGATCTCCCAGCTCTGTCAAGCTTCACATCCACAATGTATGAAACAAATTGAAACAAATGTCTGTGCCTCTTATCACTAACCTGAACTTTCAGAATTTTGTTTTTCATCATTTCACTTTGCGGGTGCATTACACAGAAATTGTAGGGCTAATTTCCTACTTTTTTGTAATATTGTAAATAAATTTATAGATATTACCAGAAAAAAAATGTCATACACTTTCAATTATATAATGCACCTTGGTTGAGGATTATACTGAGATATTTCCATGTAAATGCACTACAATGCAGGGGCCTGCGCATATAACATCAGCGAAAGCGTACGCATTAATTATTTTCCAGCCATATGAGAATCGTCAGGTCTATATGCATTGGGCAGATACTCTCGTGTCATTATATCCTGCAAACAACTCACGGTTCACATCTTAAACGTTAGGGTTAAATGACGTTGTATTCGTCCGCACGTTTAGTAAACACTGGTTAGATTGATTTCGATAGTTTCCGATATGCGCATTGCATGAGTGATACGCTCTCACCAAAATAATCCGGTTTGGCAGAAACTTTTTCCACGATAACAGTACGAATCGGATCACGTATTTGTGTTGACTTGTCGGCCAGTTTTATAGACTCTCCAGGCGACTTTATTCAAGTTTCCTCCCATTTCTACACATTTTACAACATTCCAACCAGCGTTTTGACTTTCAACCCAACTTTTTCTATTTACCAACCAGCTATTGCGACTTTCCTTTCAACGTTTGTGTCCTTCAGGTCATCTTTTTTAACTTTCAAGACAACTTACCAGCAACCATTTTCAACTTTCAACAAACTTTTCGACTTTCAACCAAAGCTTTGATTTTTGTGACAACTTTCACGCACAACATGATTCACTACACGACTCGGATTTTTCAAACTGCCTTTAGGGACAGTGCATTTCTTCGCGAAATAATTTCTTGGGTAGCAGTAATTTTGTATTATAGATAGACGAATGTATATGTAAAGTAGAAACCCTTAATTGAAATGTTTTATAACCCACTGATTTGAATAATAAAACAACACTCCCGACAGATGTTGTTCAAATTCGAAATGTTGAATTGAATTGAATTGAATTTTTATTGACTTAATTTACAGGCAATATTGATAAAAGAAAACAATACAAACAACACTGACATACATAGAGGCTCGAAAATAGTGTAAAACACTAAACAAGTCCACCCCTTTTCTAGGTTAAAAACAAACTACAATAATACATACAACTCAATTATGTATACTGTAAAAATCTGTTCATTTCTTTTTTGAATGAATTTCTTGAGCTTATGGAACGAATTTCTTCTGGAAGTTTATTTCAGAGTTTGGCTCCAGCATATTTGATGCTTTTGATTGTGTGTGATAATAGTGTTGGATGGACGAGAAATATTGAGGAAACCCTGGTGGTAACTTGCCATTGAGATTATCATGAACAAAGATATTTGCCAAACTTGTTGTTTACTTCATGTAGATGAGGATGAATTCATGTTCTAACGTTGAATTTGTAAACTTTAGCAACCGCTATGTTGGGGAAATCGGGCTACGATAAATTTGGATTATCTATATTTCCGCTTTTACTTTTAGCATTTTACACATCCAATGCGAGATGCATTACACTAATAGAACCCCATGAGGGCGCTGTGGTAAAGACAATATAGAGGACATTACACAGAAGTAACACTTGGATGGTCCTGTGATATAAGGTACAATAATCATAATTTCTATTTTCACATCCATATCAGTGTACAATACACCATCAACAAAACGACATTGAAATTATATTTGCTCTTTGGACCAGTCACGGTTAGCCTGTATGTAGGTATGAGTGGCGCCCTCACCGGCCGAACGGCATTATACCCCACTGTTTGGCTGGTTCCCGCCTCCAGTGTAACGGTTCCAGCATTCTGATTGGTCTATCACTTTCTCGTTGCTTGTTCTATTTTCCTTGCTCACCTGACGTCGGCGCTTACGCTCGTGGCCGTTCAGGGCTTTCCTTTTACTTTCGAAAGTTGGGGGAATGAAAAACTGTTTCTTTTGTTGTCAATTTGTACAGAAACAGCGAGAAATGTCAGAACCATCTCAAATATTAAGTCATTGCTGGAAGACTGTATGGGCATGGCGTTTTTCACGGGGAACAAATATTAATATGTTTTCAAATTACGTCACTTGGTCAAGTGCCTTTGGGTCGGGATCCCGGCCCAGTGAAACAATATGGCGATTATCAGTTACCTGCGTCATACTTGCCATTCGCAATCAAGGGACGCCGGGAACCAGCGACACCCCACTTGGAGCACCGCGGAGGGGCAACTCACGCGACCATGACAGGCGAAGTCACGGTAGGATCTATGCTTTTGGCCATAAATGATTAGAATATTATTTTGTGACAAACTTTATTCCATATATATATTCATATATTTAAATCACAATATATACAAATTACGTAGTACATACAATATTTACCGTGACTGGTAAATTACATGCGCGCGTAATTCTCCAAATGTGCGTCACATCCTACGCAAGTAGTGGGGTCACGTGACCATACTGACTTTGTTGAAAACAAAAATACAGCCAAATTACAATATACATACATATCATTTTATATACAATTCATGACTGTGTTTTAATTTACCTAATAATGTGCACGTTGTAAACAGTTAATAAAGTAACAATGATACAGTACGCTCAAAATACCATTTACAATTTTGGAGTATTCATTACAATGGGATAGTTTAGTGTTCATTGGTGCGTGGTTAAAATAACTTGCATAACGTCATACGTAGGCTTACATCATGCAATTGTGAACCGCAAAATGACATACGCATACAGCCTGTATATACTTTGTTAAACCTCATTTAAATTTGAAATATTACAGACAGGGGCTGACACCGCGACTAAACAGATAATATAGATAGTGTTGAGTATTTATTTTAAATACAACCTGGATTATATCATATAGCTTGAACTAAAAACGTTACATCATCGCATCAAATAGTATTCGTTAAGCAAATAATTACTTATACAATATACATGAACTTTCAATTCGTGGTACGTAACAATAATACAGAGCGCATGCGCATATATTTGTAATTCACTATGTAATCTACCAGTAACAGTGTGTACTAGTACGCGACAAATATGTTTAGGATCAATCATAACTCGAAGTGTATATCGTAATAGACCATTTCTGTTTACTTCGAACAAACAAAAGTCATAACGTCGTAGGGATGTCACAACATCGCGTTGCTTTGACAAGGTCCAGCTTTCGAAATAATATGAATAATTCATGTGAATAAAAAAACGTTTTAGAGAATTACTGTCTTGGGTATAATAATAAAATCTGACATCTCTTTAAATTCAGTAATTGCACTAATTACATTCGTTTTGTAAATGCACGTTTAAGCAAATTGCGCCATCTAGGCGGGTCTCCTCTTACCTGTAGGCGTCCTTCATAACAGAAATGACAAATGATTACACAAACAAACAAACGTGTTATTTTAGACGCACTTCCCCCACAAGAGGGCGCTATTTATATGAAAACAACTTTATATTCGATAATATATATTATTTGTAGCATTATTTACGTCGATTAACAACGGTGTCAAAAGAAAATCACGCAGTCCACACGTGGTGTTGATTAACATATCTGAGTGTTAATATATTTTCATTCATGCCACTGGTCCGAGACCTGGCTTTGGGCGGTTTTTATGCTTGATGCAGACCAACGTTGTAATGAAGACAGCCAATAGGACAACAGCTATGACGGATATCACAATAATCGTCACGAGATAGCTAGTCGGTTGCGGGAAGTATTTCATGGACGCGGAGACGATGTTGGATCTGGGTGATTTGTTACCGCCGTCGTCAATAGCAACCACACAAAACACATATGCAATGTCACCTGTAGAGAGAAAAACATGACGGCGTAACCATGGATTTTCTTCATTGTAACAAACTCTGGATTCTTTCATAAAAAATACGATCGACACACTGTGTTTGTATTATCACAAAAAAAAATAACAGTTTCACTCATGCGTAGTACCGACATACTGTAATCGTACCTTGAGTTGGTACAATAATGGTAAAAGTTTCGGTTTGTCCAGGTGATTTCGGTGACGACAATACGCCCTCAATGAAAAGGTCCTGGGTGGTATTGGTGGTGTCCTCGTGGTTTGAGTGCATGGTACTGAAATCGGTATGCATCCATATCTCGTAAGAGGTCGCTATTTATGATAAAGATAAACATTCAGATTGCATGTTTAACTGAAAAACGGACAGTAGATGCAAATTGACTAGCTCCTCTGATGTGAACATTTTGCTTTCAAATTTGGTCGCTCGCACTGTCATTTACAATTAATCTAAACAATAGACGCCCATTCTAAAGTATATATCTACACGCATAGCAGTTTTGATGTGTAAACTAGACCCCATTCTGAAATGGTCACCGAGATATCGCTCTGTACGAGAAAACCGCGTGACTTGTTATAATAAGGCGTGTCTACATCGCGCGTTAAAATTTGCATATAACATTAGCGCGTTATAAAGATTGTGATAAAGAAAAGAGTGGTATAAACAAAGATCAGTGATTACTTGAAATCGATACCAGGAAGGAGGGGGGTAAAAAAATTTATATAACATTTTATTATTTAATAATTTATTAAAATACATAAGTTTGTCCAACTCCCTGTGCTCAAATACTGTTCCATTCTTTGCCGCCATTGTATCCACTGCGCCCCTGATCACACGCGTTGTTCTCACTTTGTGAAAACTGTGCAGCTGTTTTATTTCATTTGTTTCACTGATTCTAACGGTGTCATAAGCCATGTTCACACAAGGGCGAAAAATGAGCGGTGACATACGTGTGTAACTTTTAATGGGTGGACCAGACCCCAAACGCTGTTGTCGCACCGCTTCGAACGTTGTAATTACACCGCATAAACACGAAACCCCGATCCCATGCGCCCTCTATCGCCGACATTTCATGTTTCAATCGCGTAATTTTCAATGAATTTGAATTTGAGTGGTTTTACTGGTATCAAATTATTAAGATGCTTATAATATTAATAATTTGTAATCACTAACAAATGTTTACTTATGCTGTAGGCCTATACTGCATGCTGTGTTTACTCTTGACAGTAACTGGTTGATGATCCAAGACTGCGAGGAGCTGAATTTGTCCCGGTATGTAGCCATTTGCAAAAAGGTTAATAGTGTAAAAATATCGCCCGAGACAATATAGACAGTATTCTCCATGTATTCGATAATGTCACTTTTTTATTCTGATTGCAGAATTATATAATGTAACAATAAATCCACGAATCGTGTGTCTTGAGCTGGTGACCCGGAGTTTGGACACAAAAAACGATTCGTAGATAATGTAGACAAAGTGACGTCATTTGATCGAACTTCTTTATGTATCTTTCTATTTGTGTCTGTTTGTTTCATATGTCCACACATATAATAGTGTAACACAAATTAGTCAAAACAACTTAAGAACATTAAAAGTTGAATATATTATAGATTTAAACGTACAAACCCCTTACCATCTCCAAAATCCAGGTCATCTCCCGGTGCGGTAAATTGAATCGTTATGTGTCTATCATCGTAGGATATTTTGGTCACTCGGAGGTCGACAATTTTAGCAGGAGAGTAAAAATCATATAACCCTAATAGTACAAATAATAAATATTATTATAAGGTTTTGCAAAGTGACGTGATAAGTTATGAATGCTGAATACTGATAAGAGTGACAGTAGTCAAGTGATATTCAACTTGAACGCCCGTCTAAAAGTGTCAAATAATGCAAGAAATATTTAGAAATCAACAGATTTAATGTTTAAATTTGGAAAAATAGCCGAATGCAGAGAGTAATACTGATTTCCGTCGATACTTGTTGTGGCCTCAACTTAAACTTCAACTGCAAGCTGAGGATAAAAAATATGGTATTCATGCTTACCGCTACATTCAGTACTCCCATCGCAAGAAACACTGCCCCCATTGGTAGTTCTCTGAAACGTTCCGGTCGATTCATCGTCAGGCTGTGCTTCTCCACTTACACGCTCAGGGTCCGTGAAAGAACCGTAGCCCACTATTCTGCTGGGACTGATTACTGTATCGTCACCGGCATCCACAACTTCAACCTAGTGTTCAAGTACATTTACATTTTTAGAGGTGAATGTATGTTGCACTGTCAAGATGCATCATATAGACAGATATTTCACGAATTAAACAGTATAACTATTTACCTTGACACTGTATCTATCGTCTCCGGCAAAAGCAGTGAAATATGACGAGTAGACGCCGTCATCTTTTGTGATATCGGCGCCACTACCGCTGTCAGCCATAATCAATTGAACCGAATCACCGCTTGGTCGTTCTACAGTAGCTACGACATGAGCGTTCAAAACTGGCATGGCTCCTATGAATGGAATCAAATTATACAATGAATATATGGTATTTTTCCGCATGTGCATGACACACAAATCACGAAATGTATAATTTGGCTGGAAATTGCCCTTTCATACGAGTGCTCCGTCGTTGGGCACTGATTGTACATACACGTGCGCATTGAATCTTACGAACGCCCTCTATTTCGTACGAATGCCACTAATCAGTCGTGTGAGGGCGTTTGTAAGTTTTATCAGTCAGCGCGTTACAATGTTTCCCTAACTTCCACGGCTCTCAATCGCCCAGTCAGCGAAGGTCAATGACAGATTTAGAGGGGGACATAGGGACCCCCCCCCCAAAAAAAATGAAGTTACTCATACATGTTTACTCCACAATGCAATGCGGAAATTACTCCATTGTAAAGGCGCGCCCCTCTATTTGAACTTCTTGCACCCGCCCCTGAAAGCTCAGGTCACTGGTCTGAGCTGAAACCAGCATTCCGCTGATCCTAGGCGAAATGAATGCCAGTGATCTGACCAAGTCTGCTATTGTAAAACCAGTGTATAACTTTACAAATGTGTAGAGTAATGTAGTGCTACAAATACTAAGTACACATACATACCTTTAGACACAGTTACATACAGTATTAGTTTCTCGGGTGGATTTATGGTATTGGCGCTCCATTCTGACCTCACTGTTATAGGATATTCACCTGGTTTACCGCTCTTTGATCGAACCATCACATAAACCTGTTGCTCCACCGATGATGGATTGTAGATCGATGCAGTCCAACTACCAACCTTTAAAAGAAATCGAAAATACCTATGATACTATTTGAAAAGAAACATGACCTACCTTTCTTCAATTTTACGGGTATGACGAATCATCGAAACAAAAATCAATGAATTGAAAACATGCCTTTTTGGTATAAATTGTTTCATTTGCCAAACATTATCGCAACAGATCAACAGCATGCTTAGCGACATATATATTTATTTGTTTTTAATTGCAAAATGTGTTTTTATTGTTGTACATTTTGGAGATTTCCACGTGAATTGTTTGTATGCTATATAATGGAATATTGTGAAATTCTATTTTAAATTTATAAAAAAAAAAAAAAATCCTCCATCAATGTTCAGTTTCTGTCATTAAACTTATTTCAAGTTATATACATGTATCACATTGATCCTGCTTCCGGTGTCGATTTTAAATTGGCATTGTGGGAACAATTCAGTATTAGAATATGTATGTATTCCACTGACGAAGACAAGTACGATGTGTTTTGTTTTTTTAACAAGTTATTTGTTTAATGGCTACAGCCTTAAACGTACATCAGCAATTCCTTCTATTTTAATCGTCACCATTTTAAATGTACTGTCCAAGTCATAGGACGCTGAATCTTTGTTAATTATACTTCCATCGGGAGTGTGCAAAGTAACCTCAATAGCCTGGTCTCCGAGATACGTGAACGTGAATTCAGTATCCTTTCCAATTGACGCGTCGATTGCAAGTGAGAATTCGAAAATAGCGCCACCATCGATGAGTCTCGCATCACTGTAGATCGACACAGCTTGGTCCAACTCACCTTACAAAAAAATAACAAATATGCATGAGATTTTGAAACATTCCCCATAATCCATACCCCAGACCATTCGTCCCGGTGTTATCGCTATCGCCACACGAGACTCCAGCTTGTCTCCTATACAATTTTCCTTCCGCCCACTTAATTGTAATATTCATATGACCTTTGCACTGACATCGATAGCCAATCGCATTCGACCGCGGACGTCACTCTAAATAAACAACTGAATAAATTAATATACCATATTTGGAAGATAGCGGGTAAATTCAACGTTGTTGGTGTGTTCCTTCGGGTTCCGAAGTCGCACGAAACGAGTTCATGTTCCGTTATCTTTCGCAAGTAAAACAGGTCGATATGTATTAAACATGGCATTTGTTTTCTTGTTTTAACCCCCTTATTACGCAAGCTTCCGTCGAAGTGGTGTTTTTTTCGACGATTTGTGGCATGTTGCAAAACGAACGAAACATTGCGACATTCTTAGCGGTGGATAAGGGATCGACTATGTCGTCACATTTATGTCTCGTTTGAAGAAGAATAAACAACCGCTCAGAAAAATATGTTGCTAATATTTAAGTGCGGTGCCTTGAAATCGCCTGCCCGACGTCCAAATTTCAAAAGGATGTTCGATTTGCAATGACGACCGTTCATATGTACGAGGCGACGTTACTAATT